TTAATGGAATTGGAAAGGAATCCTTCAAAAAAAAAAAAAACTCATCCTTTTTCATTTTCTTTTTGACTTATATAGTTCATTACATCTCCCTCCAAAACATGCTTTTACCTTTTTGGGCCTTGAGTGGTATGGAATGATTTGGGTTTTTGATGAACTTATTGGGCCCTGTTATTTCTAACTGATTGGGCCCACCAAAATTCTGAATATTTTCTTTTTTTTTTCCAACTTTTGTTTTTATTTGTAAATCAGTGGGCATTGAATATTCTGCCGAATAGAGCCAATAAGAACGATGTCAGAAGAGTCTAAGAAAATTTGAAGTGACGTCATCATCTTGGAGTAATTGAAACAAATCAGATCATGAGATCTATTTCTATTTAATCAACTATACCAATCAAGATTGCGTCATTATTAAGTTTTCTTTTTTAAAAAAAATCAAGAGTCCGTTGTGATGTAACCCTGACCGTTGGATTGACATTGAAGTCCGCGTGATTGATGGAGCAACGGACGGTCCGGATTCAAGGGTTAACCTGAGGTACCCATAAAGGGATCCAGAAACCGAAGGCTTTAAAACTGCAGTCATAAAACTTCCACGAGGAGGAACACGTATTGAGCGGGTGACACGTGGCGGATGACTTAATGACGATAGTACCCTCCACCGTCAAATCAAAATGCACCAATCCTAATACGTAAAAAACTGAGGGCTGAGGGTCGCTTCGGTGTAAGCGTGATCCCGGTGGATTATAAGGCAGCTATCAATTCGAAACGGTGTCAGGGTCGTTTTGGTCATTACGTTCGTCAGAGTCGGCGTGGGGGCCACACCGCCACGTGATCGCTTCATTGGCCAGCTCTGACGGTCGACTTCGGTCACGTGACGTCAACCTCGTCGGTGACGCTAACTCCACCGTGCCCGTCACCGATTCTTCCGTACAAAAACTATTTTTCCAAACTTTTCTTCAATTATTAATTATTTTTATTGGAAATTAAATACGAAAAGAAAAAAGAATAATGAAAATTAAGAATTGGGTATTGCTGTTGGGAGTCAGTTATCTGATACTACCGATCACTGCACCAATGGGTGATACCACTCTATTCACACCGTGCAAATGTGAGGCCCTCCCTATAAGATATTATAAAAACAGTAATAAAAAATTATATATGTGAATAAAGAAGGGTTATGGTTAATCAATATATACTTGATAATTAAAATAATTAATCAGGATATAAAGTAATTAGTAAGAAAGTTTTATCTTGACGACATGTGGAGTCACTCCACAACCTTTTGGTAGGGATAAATTATTTAACAAATTCAACTATGTTTAGAGTCACATCAACATATTTACAATTATGTATTTATAATATAGTTGATACATACATCGATTAGGGTTTTTGGGGAATAAGATTGGGACCACGCTCAACCCAAGGACCATATATGTACATGTCCGACTTGGATGTGCAGGGCCACCTTAGGAGAGAGGATCGCGCCAGGCCTAAGCACACTTGGTCGTCGCCCTGTTTTGTGGCACTTGTGGCTTGAGCCCTGACAGCTCGTCCACGAGGGTTGCACTTACCGAGGAGGGGTGAGGAAGTTTAGCATTATATTTCTAAGTTTAGGCTCGAATCTTGACTTAAGCATCAGAGTGAGGAAGGTTGGCATCGTACTAGTGTCTTTTATCTCTCAATCTGTGCATGTCGCCATACTCCCTAGTTTTACAAAGCCAAAATCTCATCCTCCCATGTTCACTAACTGTTGGGTCAATTTTAAACTGTCCGATTCAATTCGCCTCCAAATTTTCACTCCAATAAGAGTGTATTGTTAATCAAGGTAGGCGATTAAGTAATTATAATTATTAGTCTTTTTTAGGACTATATTTAAAGTTTGGTACTTATAATATTGTATATATTTTTGTAAACATGTCTACGTGTGTCAATATTTTAGAAAAGTATACTATTTTGTTTACCTATTAAGGATTAGATTGAATTATATTTTTGGTTTGGAATCTCTCTGTTTTATGTACTAAAAAAATGATTTTTTAAAAAAGAAAAAGATTATGATCATATTTTAAGAACTAAAAAGAAATGTACTCATATAACAAATTTATTACACTAATTAGATGTCATAACACACAATAATTTTTATTCACTATCAGTAA